AATATATTTTATTGATTTTTTACAGAGAGGAAGGGAGAGAGATAGAGAGCCAGAAACATCGATGAGAGAGAAACATGGATCAGCTGCCTCCTGCACATCTCCCACTGGGGATGTGCCCGCAACCCAAGTACATGCCCTTGACCGGAATCGGACCTGAGACCCCTCAGTCCGCAGGCCGACGCTCTATCCACTGAGCCAAACCGGCTTCGGCTATTTTTTAATATACTTTTATTGATTTCAGAGAGGAAGAGAAAGGGAGAGAGATAGAAACATCCATGGTGAAAGGGAATCATAGACCTCCTGCACGCCCCCGACTGGGGATTGAGCCCGCAACCCAGGCCCTCAGAGAGGAAGAGAAAGGGAGAGAGATAGAAACATCCATGGTGAAAGGGAATCATAGACCTCCTGCACGCCCCCGACTGGGGATTGAGCCCGCAACCCGGGCTCGTGTCTTGACCGGGAATCCAACTGTGACCTCCTGGTTCATAGGTCGACGTTCAACCACTAAGCCAGCTGAGCCAGGCTTGTCTGTTTTTCTCAGTCTCAATCTGTTTCTCCTGATTTTTTTCATCCTTGGTATCTTACATCCTTTCTGGCCTTGAGCGAGCCACAGCCCCGTGGCCAGAGTTACCAAGAGCAGGAGGAGGAGCAGTGCCTTGACCAGGAGGCAGAAGGAAGCGGAGGCCTTCTCTGAAGGGTACCTAAGATCTGGAACAGAAGAAGGAAGGAGGCAGGGGGAGAGGGGGGCTCACCAAAGAGAAAGGTGAGTTGCAGACACCCACCCCAAATCCCACAGAGGGGTCAAGTTCAGTCAGCTGATGTGCCTTCGCAAGTGTCTCTTGAAATACTTATTCTATTCACAGAAGCTCAGGAACTGAGATCTGGCGAGCAATTTCAAGCTGAGCAAGAGTCTAGAAGAAACCTTCGGAAGTTGGGTGTTCCAGGGAAGGAGGGGAGCCCCCCACCCAATCCAGGGGTCAAGTCCCTCTGGGAGGGGGTTAGGTTCTAGATTCCATGTATTCTCTTGGGAAGAACTGACGAATGAAGGTGGTGGCCTCAAGGCCCTGCAGTAGCTCAGGGTCCTGGTACCTGCACAGAAGGGCCCAGCAGGGATGAGATAGGAACTCATGTTGCTGACGGGGTTGCTAGCCCTGCAGGTGTAGGAGAGGGCATGGTCCCCGGGCCTCCAGGATGTGCTGAGGACAGAGCCTTCACGTGCTGTGTCGACACCATCCTCCCGGGATATCCAGCTGTAGGTCACGTCCAGGCCGGCCTGCTCTACAGAGCATGTCAGGGACATATTACAGAGACCATCCCCAGAGATCTCAAAGTTCACAGTGATGGAAGGCTCCGACAGCCGTCCTGGATGAAGGAGGAACACAAAAGCCTGCTAGGTCATCAGGGCGTGGGTCTGTTTTCCTAAGTTCCTCAACACTGGGGTCTGAGTGCTGTCCTCTGAGAGCCCCTCCACCCACACAAGCAGGCAGAAACTAACAAAACTCAGCCACCGTACAACCCAGGGTCCCCGGGCAGCTGCGGAGGCAGGCAGGGCTGCCTGTGGCATCTTCCACTTCCCCTTTATACCTTGCCTCTCTCTCACGTTGGCACCCACCTTCCTCCAAACCCCACTCTGCCTCCTCAAACCCAGAACATATTGTTACCCTCTCTCTCAGGGACATTTATAGCTTAATCAGTGTCTTAACAAGATTCAAGGTAGAATATCAGTCAATGTCATGGGCACTAAGAAGGAACTTGCATTCAAGTAGAGAGGAGTCACTGATTAGTAGCCCTCAAATCACTCAGAAGGATAAAAAAAAAAGGCTCAAGACTGGAGGTGCATTCACACACACACACACACACACACACACACACACACACCCGCCCAGTGTGAAATCTCACTGGGACAGAAGGTCGTCTAGAAATCTCCCCACAAAGCCCGAGCTCTCTGTCAGGCCCCTCCACGCCCCAGTGTTTCATTGCTCCAGGTCACTCTACCCACAGCAGCAAGGCAGCCCAGATGCTGGGGTTGGGCACACTAGGGACAGTCTGCCTTCCAGTCCCAACCCCTCAAGTCATAACCCCAAGTCCGAGACCCCTCCTCCTCTGCATGGGAAGCCCAGGAAAGCCCACGAAGGCAGGTGTGCGGTTCCCAAACTAAACTCACGGTAGATGCGTAGGTTGTACTGCTGCAGGCTGGAGATCTGGGACGTCCTCAGGTTGACTTGAGCTTGGTAAGGCCCCGAGTCCTCCCAGCTCAGATTGCTGATGTGCAGAGAGTAGCTGGGACTCGGGAAGCTCACTCGGCCCTGGTAGCGAGGGTCGGTCACCGTGACGTTAGCTAAATGTCCCTCTTTCGTTGGCACCACAATAGCCAGCGTTATGTGGGAGGACCAGATGATGTTCTCAACCTCTTCATCAGATGGTATTTCCAGGGGGAGACTGATGGACTCCTGCAGGACTGCGACCACTTCCTCGGGACCCACGCCGTCTCCAGAATCTCCTTTGGCTGCAGAGAAAGGAAGGAAAGGGGTGCAAACAGACCAGCTGGCGTATCTGGGCTGCTGAGACTGGCCGCAGGGCTGTGCTCTCACTCTCAGTCGAGCAAGTGCTATGGCCCTGCACTTGTCCTTCAGCTGCCTCTTCTGGCTTTAGCTTTCTGCTCAACTTGACTTGAGCACCTACCAGGGGTCGGCTTCCATCTGTGCCCTCACCCTCCAAATTTGACCTCCTCTGTTTGCCATCCTGGGGCTACTCCCCTTTCCACATCTCCAGGCCTCCTCTTCTCTTGGTCCTGCCCTGAAGCCATCCCCTATTCCTCTTCCCTCCAGAAGAGCTGAAGCCTTTGGCCCCAAAGAAAGTGACTTGCTAGCCCCAGGCTCAGCGGGTGAAAGAGGGTGAAGGGCACACTCCTGTCCCCGCTGCAGTCGCTCTCACCTTCCTGGAGCAGTGAGAGCAGGAGCAGCCACGGAAGGGCCCCCATGTCCGCAGCCTGGTGCCCGGGAGGTGTGACTTGGCCAGTGCCCAAGGCTGTGAAGAAAGCAAGCTGTCTGCAAGTGACTAAAGACAGTGACTATTTGACAGTCCCGAGGAGAGGGAAATAATTTTCACCCTAGCTCCAGCCCCTAACTTCCTCCTTCCTCTTTCCTCACAAAGCCCCTCCCCCTCCTTCTTGGGAAGATGTCTCTCTCTGCGCCTGGTTGGAAAGATGGTTTGCCCATTGATTCATGTCTTGTCTATCAACTCCGCTCAGATCCCACTTCCTAAGTGAAGCCTTCCTAGACTCCCCACCCACTGCCTCTCCCAAACTCTTAGAAAACTTTCTGTCCAGCCTTGGCAGCTCCTATGTAGCTGTGATCATAGGACCCCATCTTTTTCTGGCTCCCATGCTAGACACATGTAGCTCAACTGATATTTTTGGAACAGATGAATGAATGAATGAATGAATGAATGAATGAAGTCTTTCTATTTCAAGTTAGTTATATTCCCAATTGAGCAATTATTCAGAGGAAGAAAACTTGGCCCTCTTTAATAAAAGCAATCTGTACCGGATTGCTGATCCAGTTGTTAATGTTACAGAAAGACTTTAAATCATTCTGTGAGGATATAATGTGGATCAAATCAAATTGAGGGGGAGTGTAAGAAATAAAAAATATCTCTGATGGTCAGAGCTGTCCAGGACGCACGGGGTGACCTTGGGAGGTAGTTTTGGCCCCTGGTGTTCAAGCTAAGACCAGACATCCACTTGCTGGGATATTTGGCAACATCTCTGGCATTAGATGGTGTATAGATGTCGATGTGAACAAAACTAACTTCATCTTTGTACCCCAGAGTTTTCATGCTGTAATGCTTGACCAACCTTACTGTCCTTAGCAAGCATATCAAAGATTTCTAGTTGATGACGATCTGTATTCCTTAAATTGTAGCCATATTTTCTCCTAAAGTAGAGGCCAAGTTACCTGCTGAACCTGAAAGTTTAAGTGTCTCTGTGTGTGTGTGTCTCTCAAAAGCAAGTGTTTCAGAAGGATGGACAAAGTTGGCAACAGTTGAGGTGACTCTGTGTCCAGGTTTCTTGGGACAACCCCAGTTTAAGACTGTTGTCCTGGCCTAATCCTATATAATAAAAGGCTAATATGCAATCGACTGAACAGCAGAATGACCGGTTGATGTGACATGCACTGACCACAAGGGGGCAGATGCTCAATACAGAGGCTGCCCTCTGGTGGTCAGTGCGCTCTCACAAGGGGAGTGCCGCTCGGCCAGAAGCCCTGTGGTGAGCGGGCCTACGCCTGAGGGCTCCTGGACTGTGAGAGGGTGCAGGCCTGGCTGAGGGACCCCCCCCCCCCCTGCTGCCCAGTGCACGAATTTCGTGCACCGGGCCTCTAGTTATTAATAGTGTTCCTTTTCACTCTTAGAAAGTGTTCTGATTTATAGGATAAATTATTTGGTTACCCAAGGACAGTAGAAAATCTTATTAAAGGACTCGCAGGAAGACAGCTGAACCTTAAGAGACCAAGGCCATCCTTAGCTTTTCAGGTCAACAAATTGCCCTGAAGATCTGGAGGGAGTCATTGGATGGACAGGAGATAAGAGAATGCATCTGGAACCAAACTGCTTGGGCCCCTTCACCAGCAGGACGGATACTCACAACCCCTGCTTTACAGGTGCTTGTAAACATAAAATGATGCCTGAAAGCACTTCGCAGGGCCTGGCGCGTGGTGAGGGCTTGAGGAAGTCATTGTTGTTATGACTGAAGGCTGATGTAGCATCAGGATCATGGGCTTTGGCATTATAAAGACTGGGGCCCTTTGTAACTGGCGAATGTCTGGCTATTGAGGAGAATGGGCAGGAAGTCTCTAGCATAAGACACATGAAGGGGGTTACTCAGCAATGTCCACTGGCAACACCCATCAGCCCCTAGACCAGTGGTTCTCAACCTTCCTAATGCCGCGACCCTTTAATACAGTTCCTCATGTTGTGGTGGCCCCCAATTTCATTGTTACAAATTGAACATAATTAAAGCATAGTGATTAATCACAAAAACAATATGTAATTACATATGTGTTTTCCAAAGGGGTCGCGACCCACAGGTTGAGAACCCCTGCCCTAGACTGAGGAGACACCTGGCATTGCTGCCAGGACATGCAGCCCAGCTTGTCGTTTTGTGCGGTGTTCCTGTTTTGGTATTTTTAAATTGAATTTTATTTTTCAATTACACTTTACATTTGATATTATTTTGTATTCGTCTCAGGTGTACAGCATAGTGGTTAGACAATCATATACTTTAGAAAGTGGCCCCCTGATTTCAAGTACGGTCGCCTGCCTCTTCACCAGTCACACCCAGAGGGACGCAGAGGCTCAGCACACTAAGCTGGGCCCTTTGACACACTGATGACTGGTTTCTTGTCTCTCTGGCATCACAGATCCCAGAGTGGTTCCTACACACACACACACACACACACACACACACACACACTCTTCCCTCAGCTTCTCTCTTAACCATGACTTGTCTGCTCTTCTTTCCTGAAATCAACCTCCTGGTTTGCATGTCCCTTGCCTCCTTCATGCTGATTATTCTCAAAATGTAGGTTTTGTGCTGTCTGCATCAGAATCACCCGGAGCACCGTGACGATGCTAATTCCTTGGCCCCACTCCAGACCCAGGGAAGCGGGACAGGGGTACCAGGGGCAGAGGCCTGCAGGTCCACCTGCTTAGGAAGGTCCTGCCGTGGTCGGCAAACCACAGCTCGCAAGCCACATGTGGCTCTTTGGCCCCTTGAGTGTGGCTCTTCCACAAAATACCATGTGCGGGCGCGCACGTACAGTGCGATTGAAACTTCGTGGCCCATGCACAGACGTCGGTATTTTGTGGAAGAGCCACACTCAAGAGGCCAGAGAGCCGCATGTGGCTCGCGAGCTGCGGTTTGCCGAGCCACAGTTTGCCGACCACTGTGGGGGTTCACTGTGTTTGAGAATGCCACACTGCCGGCTCCTCCTTTCTGCTGAAACAGAGAGGAAGTTCCCCAGCAGGTCACGCCTTTGTCTCCCAGCACAAAAGGTTTCTTTGCCCCTGAGTAGAGCTGTGAGACAGCTGCCTCCTGAGCTGGGCTTCCTAGAACCGAGAGGGGCTTTGAGTCTTTCCTCCTGGGAATCTACCAGGACTGGGAGGCAGTGGTGAGGGGGGCGGGGGAAGCAGGTGTGAGGCCAGGAGCTTCAACCTGAGATATCAGCTTTTACCCCTTGATAGATGCAGGTGCTGAAAACAGGGTGCTGTTGCTCAAAGAAAATAGAAGTTTATAACCTACTGATCTTGTCCAACCCCTTATTTTACAAATTAAAAACACGACAGCCCTAGCCGGTTTGGCTTAGTGGATAGAGCGTCAGCCTGAGAACTGAAGGGTCCCAGGTTCAATTCCGGTCAAGGGCACATGCTTTGATTTTGGGCTTGATCCCTAATGGGGGTCATGCAGGAGGCAGCCAATCAATGATTCTCTCTCATCATTGATGTTTCTCTCTCTCTCCCTCTTTCTTCCTCTCTGAAATCAATAAAAATATATTTAAAAATAAAAAATATAAATTGCTAACATCCAGTGGAAGCTGGATGAGAGTTATACAGAAACTGTCAAAAAAATTTTTAATTAAAAAATAAACTAGAGCCCAGCGGTGGCTCAGCGGTTCAGCATCGACCTATGACCCAGGAGGTCACAGTTCAATTCCCGGTCAGGGCGCATGCCTGGGTTGCAGACTCGATCCCCAGTAGGGGGCGTGCAGGAGGCAGCTGATCCATGATTCTCTCTCATCATTGATGTTTCTCTCTCTCTCTCTCTCTCTTTCTCCCTTCCTCTCTAAAAACAATTTTTAAAAATATTTAAAAATAAATAAATAAAACAAAATGTTCTCACCAGTCCCTTTCCCTGTCAAGTTCCCCAAAGAGCTTATCACTTATAAAGACTCTGTGACTCCCATGGCATCACTCTGCTCTCTGGGTCAAGTCCTTCTTCCTAGAGGCCAGAGAGGCTGTCTGGAGTCCTGACCTCAGAGCACTGAAGGTGGCTTGGAGTGTAGACCATTGGATTGCGGGACAGGGTCTCCTGGACCTGAGAGGTCCCCCCTCTCTGAGAGGAGAGCAGCCTGGTAACAGAACACCAACAGTGGCCATATTTTCTCTCAGCCTATGAAAATGGCTAAAAGATGGGGAAGGCCTTGGGGATCCCCCTGGCCTGCTAGAGGAGGAACTAGAGGAACCAAAGGAGAGATTGAGGATCTCAGAGCTGCTGCATTGGGAGGGCCTAGTGAGGGGCCAGGGGTATCGCTCTTTCACGAGCTCACCTGATGAGGTGTTACCTAAAGGCTCTGCAGTCCAGCCCTTCCTTTAGAACAGTGATTTCTGAACTTGAGAGAATATCCACACAGCCCTTTCCTCAAAGGAAATATTACAAGAAACCCAATTTGTGAAATAGATACAAATGGACTTTTCTGGTGGAAGCTGGAGGAATCCAGGGACGTATAGGGAGGAACTTGGGGGCGGCTTTCTCCCAGACAGGGGTGCTCCCAGGGGCCATTGTTCCTGTGCTGGGCCCACCCGCTTTGCAGAGCTGACTGGCAGCCATATCTGAGTTTCCATCTGCATGGCCCGCACTGTTTGCCCCTGAATTTAAGCCCCAAGGCAACTTCTTGGAGCCCTAGGGTTCTGTGGAGCTCCTCTGTTGCGGACAGAAGGCAAAGAAGCAAGGCAGCAGGAGCAGGTGGCATTCCAGGACTTCCACCCCCATTTCCAATAGGATGGTGAGAGTTTCTTCTATCTACATATTGGGCTTATAAAAAGATTTCCTGTGGGGAAAAGGTCCCTTTAAAAAAAACAACCATCCTCCTCTCTACTCAGAATCCTTTAAAATCGTGTTTATTACTCACTTTGCAGCCTTAAAACACAAAAGAATGCTATACAGTGGGGCCTTGACTTACGAGTTTAATTCGTTCCGTGATGGAGCTCGTAACTCAAATTACTCGTATGTCAAATCAAAAAGTGAACGAGTGAGATTCGGGTTACGAGCCAGCTTCGGATACCCCACCGCTAGT